TGGAGCATTTATATTGTTTTCAAATAATACATATAATATACAGCTTTTCCTATGATCTTAAAAGTAGGAAACACATATAATACTTTTCAATCTCTGCTTTTTCTTGATATTTATGTAGTACATTTTTCTCCCATGGCTTAGTTCATTATATTTAGCAGTTTAAAAAGATAAATCTTCTTCATCTAAGGAAAACATGTTTTAAAAATTGTGAAATACCCAGACATTATAATTACCTTATTAAAAAACTACATAGATACAAAGCAAAAGATCAAGTAGTTAACAGTGAAGATAAATGAGCTACACAAACACATGCAATGCAGCCTCCTTAGGTGCAATCCAGGGCTGATGCAATTAACCACAAAATCTACTTAACAAGAAGCTGAGGGGCCTAAATATCAGCATTTTTTTTCCAGTTACAGTTTGCTGTTTTTTCATACCACTTTTTGTTGTTACACTTCATGAGTAGAATGCTGTACAAATGCTGTAACACACACACCACTCTATTTCTGTAGACTGCACTTATGATATACCAGATATTTTATGATACACCAAAGTGAAATATGTTTTCTTTGGTCAAAGACAGCTTAACAATTCTCTGCTTTCACACAGCTTCTCACTATTTTTTTCCACGCTTGTCTTCTTTGAAAGCCTTTCATTTCGACATGTCATTTCAGAGTTTCAGCCTACAGAGCAGAACCCCCCTGCACTGGTGCAGAGGAGAAAAGCCAGCTGCCATAGAAAACACATGAGGGAATTTATAACCCTATAGTTTTGTGAAGTATTATAAAAATACTGCACCATTTACAAATCAGTAACGATCTATAGCATTAGAGACTGCTCCCCATATTAAATATCCACAGAATAAAAGAATTAAGGCTATATAGGCAATTTTTAGAATAGAACAGGTACTTATATACAGCAATAATGGCTTCAGTCTCATATCCTTGCAGACAAGCACAGTCACTGCTGCAGAGGCTCAAAACTACTTCAGCCTCTCTCGTCTCCCTTGTACGTGGAGCATAGCGATAGGGCCAGCCCTATTCAGAGCCATCTTCTCTTCCATTATGCTGCTGATCCTCCCTTGTTAAGTAGTATTTAATTAGGTGAACAAGAAATTTAACTGTTGAATCCACAGGCAGACTGCTTTCTAGTTGATCCCTAAACTTTTCATATTCTTGGAGTCTATATTAGTTCTTAAAACAGTATGTAAAAGTTCTGTCTTCCCAGAAGTTTGAAATATGCTTATAATGCTGTATGTAATGTTCAGTCAGAAATTCTCTGATGCAAAGTTTGCTATAAAAATGCCTTGAAAATCCTACTGAATATTGCATATTCAGTAGACTGAGCAACATTCAAGCAGTAAAACTTAAGTCTGTCTCCTGTGTCATTGATAGGTTTAGCATGAAAACGCAAAGCAATAAATGCTTCATTGGTATGCTGAAGAAGCCATGAAATGTAAAACACAGAGTGCTCACTGATGGATATTCATTTAATTTTTTCAGTTTTTGTATTCCAGACAAATAGGTAATAACTCCGTTCAATTAAGCAATAAAAAGTATAGGGAGAATCAATATCACTTCTTCTAGAGAAGAAGAAACAAAGAGAAGTGACCAGGCATTAAAACTGTGGTGTGTCAAAATCTTTGACTGCAAATAGGGTGGTAAACATGGAACCAAAATTCCTCTGCAATTTTTAGCATATTGCCTAACTGATATTATTATAGGATAAGTAATGTTGCTTTCACTTTTAAACTATATCTTTCTGCTGGATACTTTCACAAACTGCTCCAAAGTCCTTCTGCATCTTAGGATTTATCATGGCATTGTTTGGTGTGCTTGTTTCAGAAACAAGTACACTCTTGTGTGATCATGTTTATCTACATGACAATCTACAGTCTATCTTCTTGAATTTGGTCCAATTTTCCAAACCTTCACACATCTCAGATTTTACTTTAACCTCCACTCTTTCTAATCTTTTTTAGTGTAATAGTGGTAGCTTTGATAAATATAAGATTCAGCTCATATTTCAGGTCATTTACAAAGACATCAGATATCACTGCCTCTAACTTGCTATGCTCTGAAGCATTTCCCAGGCTTGCTTTGTTAGGACCAGTTGATGTCTGCACAAAATATAAAGCTCTTACAGCAGCTGAAGTAAAAAGAAAAAAGAAAGACTGAAAACAATCTTTTCCTCATTATTGCCTGATTCAAGCAAAGGACATTTCTGAGCTAAGAAATTTTATTCACATTCTGGGATTAGACTATTGACAGTACAAAACATTTCTGATTAGCAAAGATACCCAGGTCTGCTCCTCTGTATGCAGCTATTTAAAATTCAGCTTAATTCATAGAATTTTTTAATAGTATTTGAAATTGCCAAGCATAGAAACAGAAATAATAATGAAAAATTCCTAATGCAGAATTGTGTTATTCTAAGGATGGCAGTCCACTATTAAATTCTTTCACCACCTCTTTAAAAGGTCCTAGTCATAATGGAGACCATAATAAAATTATGGTTGTATCATAACAAAGTGACCCAATCTGATGTAAGTTACTTTTGTAAGTTATGTAAGTAATAGGAAAGCAAAATAATACTTCAGCTCAGAAGCTGTGGTCAAGAGACCACTAGCCAAATTTAATAAATATATAATATTTTTTCCACCTAGAAGATCAAAATAATATGTGTTTCCTCATTGTCAAGAATCTATTTTTTTTTTTTAAATCTTAGCTTCTCCCAGTCCATGACTAACCAATAACCCCTAGCACTGTGCGTAATTAATTCTAGAAAGGCCATAAATACATAGGAAGCAAATGAAGCACAGCCCCATCTAAAATCAGTATGTGCAGGGGCTTGCGTGCACTGACTAGTTCTTCCAGTATTCTCTGCTGTAAGCAAGAACCAAGGGAGTTTCTGCAATCTCTCTTCTAGCTGGCTTGAGCAGTAGCAGCCCTTTTCTTGACATATATGTGTTAAAAAGAAAATAATAAAACAACAGATCCCTGACCATACATTAATATGTCACTGCCAATGTTACATGGCCAATCTGTAAGGCTGTGCGGAATGTGAGAGTATTTGCTTCATTCGCACTATCAGATCAAGGACCTTTTCACTTCAAAGGGAATCACAAGTAACAGAGAAAGCAATAAACAAAACCCACAGCAAGCAGTAACTGAGATTATAACAAGGACTAAAGCTCCCCAGTCACTAATTGATGGTCCATTAAGAAACTATAGGCATAGCTTTGGATATCACCAATCTGGACTTTATAACTAATAAAAAGGGAGGAACAAGTTCAACTGGATTATGGATACTTGAAGGGGCCTGTGGGACTATGCATAATTTATTAAGAAATGTTTAGGAGAAAGGCTGAAAGACAGAAAAAGAGTGAACTGAGGAAGAACAAAGGGGACCAGTCATGTGCAAGCAGCCACAAGTCCATTCACTTACCTAACTTACACTGAGCCTGATCACCACAGTCAATCCCATTTTCTAATTAAATCCTTTTTTAACTATCTTTCTGTGTAAATCTCAATCTTAACACCCTGTGAATGCTGCAAATTCTAGATACCCTCCACTGCAGAGGGTAGAGCAAGTGAATTAAGAACCATCAGCTGGTGACAGACTGGATCTGTGTTTTACAGCACTGTCTTTAATTATACGGTCTCTTTTATTTTTCCACTTTCACTGTACAGGATAGATGATGCTTACCTAATGAGATGCTACATATCCTTTTTGTGCTGTTACTAGGTCCCATTTACTGCACAACATTCACATCTCAATCTGAGAATGAAGTAGTTAATTTCCTGTGGGATCCATCAATATATTATCTAGGTGCTTCACATTCAAGTAGTATTTTCTTCATCCTCCAGTTATGGGACTGAGGCACACATGACATCAGTCATCAGTGAAAAATGACAACTACAATTCAGTGCTCATGTGTTAGCAAGTCAGGAACTTTAAAACAGGAAATACGCTGTTAGTTTCCCCAGTATGAGATCTGGTTTAGGTATCCCTACTAGCAGGTACAGACCTAACTCAAATTCTCCAGGCCTGCATACACTTGCTTTAGTCACAACGCCACTTTTTTCTGCACCTGCTGTTCTTAAGCATGACAGTGCTCCTAATTTTTTTCAGTTAATGAGAAAGAGGTATGAAAGAAATATATACTTGCCTACAACTAAAACAATTCCTCTCAGTAGGATATACGCAACAAAATAATAAGAAGACAAAGTAAGAACACATGCAATATGTATACCTGCTGGCAATGTGTCTTCAAGAATATGTTGGAAGAGATAAACATGTTGTCCCCATATTATTGATGGGGAAACTGACATAGTAAGGTATGAAATAGCTTCCTTTGTATTACCTACCAGGTGGATCACTCAACTGAGAGAAGAGTCCCTCCCTTACAAAGCACTGCTTTCTTCAGAATTTGAAAATATTTTACAACTATGCCATATATACTATTTATTGTACATCTACACAAAGATAAATGCAGGTGCAGAAGGGCACAGTAAACACAAAGAGAACCCTGACCCATAGTTCAGTGGTCAGTGAAGCCCACCAAATTAACACAGTGGGCAACAGAGTCATTCTAAAACTGCAGTCCAAACTCTTGTATAATTCCAAAGAGTACCTACATGATGCAGATGTAGAAATTTATCTACTTCCATAATTTATCAGTTTATTCATAAAAAATACAGTCCTCGGGTGCATTTTTCCTTAAATTTATATATAAAAATACATTTCTGTTTTTCAAGTACTTCCAGAAAGAAACTATCAATTTATAAACATAAAAATTACTATATTTCTTGAACAAAATACTTGATACAAACTGAAACAGTTTTAGATAAGGCCCTTATGCCAAAATGAAATACATATACTCATCCAGATGAAGATTCAGGCCACATAGCTCATGTAGAGTCTTGATCAATAACACAGATCATAACTAGCTGTATCCTGCTTTTGGAGTTTGTAAAAATAAAAAATAATTCATTTACCTGAAGATGTAGAAAGTATATTGGCACTGTTCTTTCTGAATAATTACTACTTGACTAAGTGCTTGTATATTAAATTTTAACCCTGCACATATGGACATAAGCAAGGCTTTATTTCCTGTTCCTTGCAGGAAGGATATCTGTAATCCAGTAGTGAAACAGAGTAATGATGAACTTGGTATGATCTGAAACAAAGAAAAAAATCATTCTATCAAAGAAAAATCATTCTATGATTCTATGAAAAATATTTCTCCTGAAACATTTTTACAATATTTCTGAACATTAAAGAAAGAGTTATGTGAACATCTATTTTCATTCCATATTATCATTTCTGTAAAAATCATGCAGAACTTGAGATTGAAGGCTAATACATATGAATTCCTAGACAAACAGGAACATTTTCTTATAGGATGTCAGTTATTTGTATGAGATACAATTTTGGTTTATATATTTGAATGCCTTTTTATTATGGTTCATTATTTCAGAAGAAATGAGATTTAAATGACACGATCATCTGGGTAAGGCTAAAAGAGTGCAATTGTCTCCATTTCTTTCTGCAGAGTCACTTCACAAAGTTGGAGTTGAAAATAAGAATTCTTGCATTAAATCACATATAGACTGCTATATTAAAGCCCTAAAATTTCTGTCTTAATTCAAGGATTGTCTATTTAACTTTATTTCTTTTTTTATGATAGGGATTTCTATGTTGCTTATCACATAACATCACATTCAAGATGATTTTATAATGTTATGTTAATGCAGTTTTTACATTTAATTTCCTTTTCTTTGAATGCATATTCAAAAAAAAGAAGTTTGATTTAGTCATTTCAAGACCTCTGTGTATCCAGCCTGCTTATTGTTGGCACACAGTAACTCCACTACTTCTGATGTGCAAAATGTACCTCTCACACAAAAAGGAGACATATATATATAAAGGACAACTCTCCAAAAAAAGACAGTTAAAAGAAGTTTCTAGCTCATCTCTGAGTGATAATTTCCCAGGCAACAAGGGAAGAATATATATGAAACTTGATAGTAACCAGCAAAGGGAAAATGTTAATAGATAATGGAATGAAGTTGATGAGTAAAAACGGAATAAGTTTGTAAATTAGGAGATAATTACATTTTTTAAAATTAGGTGATCACCTCACTTTAATAATTGATGTGAAATGAGAATTAAGTAGGTCTCATTTCAACCAGTTTCTAATCAGCAAATGGAGCACCACTTCCAGTTGCATTTCTTTGCTTTTGCACACTACTGTGGAGAACTTTGAAGACAACTGGCTGCCTTCTACAAATGGCTACCAACTTATTGATTTAGACCTGCAAAGCTCCCATTGCTAGAAATGTGTGCCTATTTGAGTTCTAAACATTCTCTTTCCTATCACGGAATCACAGAATCACAGAATGGCCAGGGTTGGAAGGGAACACAATAATCATGAATCTCCAACCCCCCTGCCACACGCAGGCCCACCAACCATTCCACCTAATGCTAGACCAAACTGCCCAGGGCCCCATCCAACCTGGCCTTGAACACCTCCAGGGACGGGGCATCCACAACCTCTCTGGGCAGCCTGTTCCAGTACCTCACCACTCTCTCTGTAAAGAATTTCCCCCTGATCCAACCTAAATCTCCTCTCCCTCAACTTAAAACCATTTCCCCTCGTCCTGCAGTTATCTACCCTTTCAAAGAGTTGATTCCCCTCCCCTCTGTCGGCTCCCTTTAGGTATTGAAATGCTGCAGTGAGGTCATCTCGCTGCCTTCTTTTCTTCAGGGTGAACAAGCCCAGCTTCCTCAGCCTGTCTTCATAAGGGAATATGTTCACAGAAGACTGCAGAGTATTTTTTGTTAAAGGCTACAAAATAAATGGAAATACCAATAGGACTTTTTTGTTTTAAACCCGAACAGTGACAATTCAGACAACCATTTTCAAACAAAACTTGTTGACCAGCTTCAGTTTTACATGATCACTGATGGATAAAGTAAGTATTCAGATGCTATGCAGTCTCCGATTTATGAGATGATGACAACTGGACAGATCAACCAGTACCTCTTAATCATAGAGGTTCTTGCTCTTTTCTAGCAAGGAATAACCTTTCCTTCTAGGACATCACATCCCAGTGAAGTTAAACAAAATTGGAAAAAAGGGCAAAGGACTCATACCAGCTTGTAAAAAAAAAATCAAGATTGCTAATATATAGACATTCTTCATAAAAAGTCATATTCCGCATTTCTGTAACAAGTACTTGAATCTACTGAGACAACAAATCTTTATAACTGTGACTTTTATCACCTGCTCATTGGGAAAGAAATCTAAAACGTTAAAAACTGCGCAAAACTGCCTTTTATTGTGTCAAAGATAGGGAAAATAAATGTATAATTAAATGTCTAATTCAAGGAAAAATTTCAGAACATTATATTCTCATTCACTGAAATTCCTCAATTACTAATTGAATGTACTGCTAAACTTGGCTGAGCCAAATTAATATTTAGCAGGTGTTTAATTATCCTTTAATAATTCATAACAATATCATAGAATCGTGGAATCACAGAATGGTTTAGGTTGGAAGGGACCTTTAAGATCATTTAGTTCCAACCCCCTGCTATAAGCAGGGGCACCTCCCACCAGACCACATTGCTCAAAGCCCATCCAGCCTGGCCTTGAATGTTTCCAGGGTAGGAGCATTCAGAGCCTCTCAGGGCAACCTGTTCCAGTGTCTCACCACCCTCACAGTAAAGAATTTCTTCCTAATACCTAGTCTAAATCTACCCTCTTCCAGTATAAAGTCATGTCCCCTCATCCTGTCAATACTTGCCCTTATAAAAAGTCTCTCCCTGGCTTTCCTGTAGGCCCTTCTGGTACCAGAAGGCCACTATAAAGTCCCCCCGGGGACTTCTCTTCTCCAAGCTGAAGATAACCAAATCTCTCAGCCTGTCCTTGTAAGGGAGGTGCTCCAGCCTTCTGATCATCTTCTGATCTGGCCCTCCTCTGGACCTGCTCCAACAACTCCATGTCTTTGTGTTGGGGGCCCCAGAACTGGATGCAGTACTCCAGGTGGGTCTCATGACAGCAGAGGGGCAGAATCACCTCCCTCGACCTGCTGGTCATGCTTCTCTTGATGCAACTTAGGATACGGTTGGCTTTCTGGGCTGCAAGTGTGCATCGCCACCTCATGTTGAGTCTTTCATCAACCAACACCCCCAAATCCCTTTCCTCAGGGCTACTGTCCAGCCATTCTCAGCCTGCATTTGTGCTTGGGACTGCCCTATATATCTTTTTCTTACATTGCTGTACCTCAAGGATATCAAATCAACTAAGTTGCAGTACTGCGAACCTGGCACAAGATCAGAGTTGAGCCCAGAGTGACAGGAGTCACTAGGAGAAAAATCAACTGAAAAGTAAACAGTTCCAGGTTGTATCAATAAAAATAAAAATTAATTAAAAAGAAAAAAAAAAAACCCACATGCACAAAAAAACCCAAAACACTTCAGCAAATTGTTTTCTTTTTTTTTTTAAGTGACAAATACATACATCTGAAAACTATCATAATTCTATGGATGTGACCATACTTGCTTTGTTTTCTCTTTTCAATTTGATATTTCTGTTATAGAAAAGGAAACAAGGGCATCTTGCCTAGAGACTGCAAAACTAGCAGAATTCCTGCTATCTTCTGCAGAATTTGGGTAAGGCCTGTGAGGAATATCCTGAATGTGGTCACTTCAACAGTTCCACTTGAATTTAATCAATAGAAGCTGATTTAGGTCATTTAATAAGGGGAGAATTACCATTACCACTGTTCCTGCTGAGTCTTGCTTAGTTTGCAAATGTGTATTACATCTGACAAGACTATCTGACAAGAATTAAGATCATAAAATCTAGGCTTGCAATTAATTCTTGAACCAAATTCTTGAATGCAGGAAGGATTCTGTTCCATGCATACCTGGACATTTTGTATCTATTAGAACCCTGAGGGCTGTCATAATCCTTTTTTAAATCTTAAAGAATCTGTATTTAAAGTAAAGAAAATGCTTTAAGAACCTTAATCATCTTGCACTCTGCAACTACTGCAGAATATGGAAAGTTTCATAACCAAGCAAGAAATAGGAGATCATTCTGTGGGAATGATCCTTTCAAATCTTGCCTAAGCATAGGTTTACTAGTATACAATTATTTACAGCTTCGCAACACAAAAATCTGTGACAAATCTGAATTTTAGTCCACACAAAAAAAGAACATCAGTGAACGATCATGAGTCAATAGTACATACCAGGAGGCATCACGGAATGTTCTTGGAATTGTTTCAAAGCATCCTTCAGTCTGTCAATATCCTGTAGCAAGATAAGGGATTTCATCTGATGTAGAAGAGTTAGATCTGAAGAAGATATGTTGCGAGATTCAAGACACTGTAAAATCCCTTGAGCAGCTGAATTTACAGTAGAATCTGTGCATTTTGATTTATCTGGAAAAACATTGGGAAAAAACAATAAGAATATTCAACAAGCACAGAGAATTTTCACAGATGGAAACTTTCTTTTTACTACAACTTACAACCAAATATCACGTACTAAACAGCTCTATTTTTAATTAATTATTTAAACAATTATAAAAGGGGAAGCTGTAACAAGGACAATAGAATTCATCATGACACAAAAGCAAGAGAAATCTAAATTTGGTATGAGAAAAGTATGATGTAGAGAGTGAACTGTCACCAAAGTCTTTGGTTCTTACACACTTGGCAATATAAAAATGCATTTTTTTTAAAAAAAAAAACAGCAACCAAGTTACAAGAGTAGGTTTATACTGACTTAGCTTTCTGATTTAAGTACAAGGACTATAACCAAATGTGACCATTTGGAAATGCTGCTAAAAACAATGGTTTCTAATTTTATCTAAGAAAAATGGATAATGTTAAAGTCACTCAACTGGATAAGGCAAAGAGCATAATGGCAGATCAATATATATACTAAGACTTACTTAGTAAGAAAGTTAGTCACACTGACTTATGGATGTGATGCACACGTTCTGTTAAAAATGGTACAGCGACACAGCTGTGCAGAACAGACCAGTTTTCTGTTCTTGGACACATATTAATAACAGAATGGTTAACTGAGTTTGCAATTTTACTCAGTCTGGAATTACACTACTGCACATGCAAATAGTGTAGGCTACATTTACTTAGCCACACAATAAAGTAGTAAAATTCTGATTTCTGATGATGGAAGTACATTAGCTAAAAAGTAGGATGGTTTTCAAATATTAGACATCGCATGAAGACTTGACACAGCAGAAATATTTTAACAGTAAGCAAAGAAAATTCTACACATAAATCTTGAGAAAAAAATTAGCGTGAAATCCTTCGTGTCATTCTAACAGGGCTTTTAAAGTAATTCAGTAATCAAAAGATGAATTTTATGGCAGTAGGGTTGACAGTTCTAACTTAAGATGGGTCATACAGGTAGATAAGCTGTTTAATATTCTTTATGTAGCTCCACAGAGACAGCCAAGGCCATTCACTTGGAAAATATTTTCACTGCTTTTTTTTTTTCAGTTTTACAAAACAGTTATAATTTTAAAGCTATGTTCTGAGCTGACCAGCTAAAGAACATAATATCTTACCTTTGAGAAAACACATTTACTACTAGAAGATACCAACAGAATTTGGTGTAAGTACATATAATATGATACCTATCAATAAAACATCATTATATCTGGAAGACATTTATGACACCATATAAAGTATCATACACAAAACTTTTTTGGAGAGCAAGGGAAGAAACACATTTAACTACAACAGTAAGAACTTCCCTGATTTTAGTGGCCAAAGTGGATGTACAATAGGCTATTAGGGATCATAACTACATAATCCTATCTAAAGTGCTACAGAAAGTGCATTAAACATCAGTTGACATTCATCTTTTTCACAACTACTTTATGAAAAACTGAAAATACACTATGAAAATATGAAAACACATTCCCAATGCCAACAGTATCTTCCTCTTTCCTCTTGAATGCAATCTGTCTAGATTTCATTATAAATTAGAAATAAACCTCCTCCTGGGAAAGAGCTTTTTGAAAAGTAGGTTGGATTGCAGACAGCAAGCAAGAAAGCAGTTTAGAACAGCAATTATTGCCTTCATCTGAGTGTTTCCAAAAGCAAGTAATACTGCTGGATGTTTGCTTTCAGAGAAAAGAAGAATTTGGTCCATGTTAACCACTACACTTACTCTGAGCATGCAGGAATATTTTAAAAATGAGAAAGAAATATAATGTGCATTTTCAAACAGAGAAACAAAGCAATTAGGACTACAGTTTTTTTATGTTGATACGGATGTTTTCTTGTACACATCAGAAAATGGGACAAATGCTAATTATCTGCATGACTTACGAACTCAAAAGATACACTTCTCTAGTAGACTTGGCCCATTCTATGGAAATAAGAAGTGCACATCTATTTTCCTCACGTGGCAATATTCACAGAAGAAAAAGGAGAAAGTAATACATACTGTCAGCAAAATAAATTTGCTGTGTTGCCTGCAAGAAATCCAGAATGCTATCTGCCTTTTCATCTGTGTCTTTTAAGTCTGCTGCTCCTTCTCTGTTGCTTTTGTCAGGCTGATATGTAAAATCCACACCGGTAGTTTTTGTTAGCAAGCCAGCTGCTCTCATTTTTTCCTTCTGTCGCTTCTTTTTCATTTTTCTCCTTTTGTTTTTGCTGATTTTGGAGCTGCCTATCTGCTGCAGCTGTAAATAATCTTGAAGAGTCTCCTGCATTCCAGATTCTACTTGTTCTCCATGTAAAACATTAGAATCTTGTAAATTGTTCTTTAGTTTCTTTCTTCGAATGCGTTTTCTCTTGGTTTGTACTTCATGTTCCTCCTCTGCAGATTCAAAAACAAAATGATAGTTGTAAATAAGATTTGTACTAAGCACTTTGGAACTGCATCAAATGGTACATTACTCCTTTCAAATTTTGGGATATCTGAGTGGCTCTAACTTTACTTTTATGATTAGAACGCCTTTGAGTTCTACAATGTCAAAGCCAACTTCTGTGAATGCATTAAGAAAAGCTCTTCTCCCTTTTACTTTCAATAAAGACTGTATTTTCCTTTGTGCTACATACTTTAGATTATATTACACATTATATGGTTCTGCCCAGAGAGTAAAGCCAAAAGAAGCATCAGAGCCAAAACCAATGTGTGCAGGCTGGGTAGTATGGGATGAGGAGCTCTCCTAAGAGGTCCACACTACCAGCTGGTAGACTTGATCAAGAATGCAAGAAAGCAGGTAATTTACAACGAAGGACTGATGCATCCCATGACAGTACTGTGCCTTAAAAACATCAGACATCTGTTTCTGATTCTTCTACTTTCTTCTCCTTAAATATCATTGTTCTTTGGGGTATCATACTGCTAGCTCAGCTTTGGACATCATCTTTCTAGGGAAAGCATGCAGGGCATCAGTGACCTTGGCAAGTAATCCGTGCTCCTTTAACAGCCTGCCTTGGTTCTGCCATTCCCTTGCTACACTGTAATTTCCTTACAAGCTAATTCTTCAAAAGGTTCAAACATCAAGGGAAAGAAGTCCCTCCTGCTCTCCAAGACAGCTTTCATGTTTCTTTATTCGTATCTTATCACTGTACACAAAACTAGACTTCCGAATTTCTGACCCTGACCTCATTTCTGACCCTGAACTGACTTGCTTCCACACAAGTTCACTTCTGAATGCAAGACTTTCTGGCACTAGCAAAGGAAGACTGCCAGAATCCATCCTCCTTTTGACTGCACTGCTGCTGAAATCTGTATTCAAGCCTATAATAATTATTTCCCATCTAATTAACTAAAATTCCCTTTTCCATAATCTAACAAAATGCTCACACATTTAATCACAGAGCCCTGAATATCGGTGTTCCTCTAATGCTCTGCCATTATAAGTTAAGCCATTTATCCTTCCCTTAACCTCTACCTGCACGTTTCTGAATTCCTGTCATCACACCGAGCCCAATTACCTGATTTTATGCAATTCTCTCTAGAATCTTTGCTTGTCTAATGCCAGAGTGATCCAGCAGAGACATCTGGAGCCCAAATTATGTTTCCAGCTGATCTGCGTGGCATCCTGAGCTGCCTCTGACATCCCCAGAGCGTTTGGCTTTCTCATCACTCCTCCCCCTCCAGTCTTTGCCTCTATTTTCTCCATAGATAGAGGCCTTCTCCTTCATTTCTGTTGCTTTTTCTGTCTTGAACTCTGTCGGCTCTGAGCCACTTTCTCTCTTTAAATATCACTACAAGACTTTTAGTTCTTTAGCTGACAGATGACTCACCACACAGCAATTTTCTATACTTTCTATGAAGAAGGCTGCATAAAAATAAATTTGCTGTATTGTAATTGAACAGCACAGCATGTTAAAGACACCAAACGTCACCTCATACCCACAGTGTGGAATGTTTTGCATGCATGGTATTTGAGCTAAATATCTTTATACATGATTTGGGCATATGGGACGTGGGAAAAATAATGTCTGTGTGGTCCTGTAGGAATAAAATAGCAGAACTGAAGGCAGATATGAATGGTGAAAGATAATATAAACAAAACATCAGTGTTTCATCTCAAGATCTTAATTTCGAATTTCATGGGAGTACTTGTGTTATAATAGGTGAATTCCACTATAAACACAGTTCCTTAAAATTTCTCAGCCCTCTGTTAACCTGAACACACTGTTTGCTAATACAGTTACTCTAATTTGGGCTCTCAGCAAAGTGGTACAACACGTTTATGTGCATCCAAGAATCCCTAAATCACAGCAAAACTATGGCATGTTGTGTAGTTAAGCACTCTCAATTGATTTTAAGCCACCTGAAAGAAAAATGGTGCACAAGGGAAAACAGGGCTTAAGAAAATTAAGTTTTGAGCCAAATCCAGAAGTTTCCTTATCTGTGGTAGATCAGGACAGCACAAGGTCTGAAGAGAGTAGGTGAAAGTGTCAAAATGCAGATTTATTGTAGCATTCCTATATACCAGTGTCATTAAGATTACCTGATTAAAAGGAAATTAGAACTGTACTGAGCTTCCTCCAACACAAGAAATGAATAAAACTCAAGACATTACCAAGTTCTCTTCACCTTTTTATAATTCTTTCTCACATATTATAACAACTTACCAGTAAGACTGAAATTTTGCTCTGATTATTCCAGTTTTCCCCCCTTGACAACCACTGCCCGATTATGGAACTAGTCATGGTTTGACACCAGCAAGAAATGAAATTAGATGCTGAGAAATGCAAAGCAGTGTACATAAATTGATTAATCTGGACAACTCACTGCAATGGTCAGAGTGAACTGTTCCTAATACGGGAAAAGCAAAACAAAACCCAGATCTATGGGAAGCTCAAGGAAAACATATGTTCAGTGGGTATGAAATCAGCAAACACCTTGTATGCGTACCAAAGAAACAGGATGGAAAATAACAACAACATTACAAAGCTATTACATAAATCTGCTGTACTCCTCAAGTTTGATAGGTTTTATTTCTTAGCACAGTCCCCTTAGCACAAGATGTTGTCAGAAAAGAACATGACTCTCATAGAAGTTATCAGAGACATGCCAAAAAGATATGTATTACTTGACTGAAACAAAGATTAATAAAATGGGCTCTATTTCTGCCTCCTCATGCAAGAACAAGGTGACATCTAATTAATTCTGAGCAGTTTCACAAGCAAATAGAAAAAAGTAAACACCTGTTTTCTGAACAATACAGTTAACTTATTAAATTGACAAGCGTGCAGTAAGCACAGAAGCCAGAAGATTAAAGGGATTCAAGAAGTGGTTGTTTATACAGGCAGCAAGGCTACCATTACAACAGTTATGCTAATACATAAATAGGAGTTGCAGAAGAAATATAAACCATAATGTTTAAGTCACAGCCCACAGAGTGATATTAAATAAAATGTTCAGTGGGAGTCACCTCCTATAACTTGAGCTGTCTAAAAAGTATGTACTTAGTGCATACTTAGATCTATGCTCCCTCTAATAAATCCAGAGGCCAGAATTTTTGCAAAGCAATTTGCCTCATACTAACCACCTGCAATTGCAAAGCACCCTGCTGGTCTTCACCATCTTTATCTCCCTCCCTCTCTTAACTACAGAGGAAATGCAGACAGTGAATCTGTATTAGATACTTTCAACAATTGAGAAGAATTAGTCTCTTTTACGAAAATTGGCAATATGGAAAAATATTCTCCTTTATGAGAGCCCCAAAGTTTTTTATTAAAAAAAAAGCCCCAAAGATTTTTTATTAATTAATAAAATCCACTGTCCTGCGCACACAAACTTTTGACTGATTCTCAACATTTCAAACCAGCAGGAATGTAAAAAATTTCAGTAGATATCAACTTGGCTGCAATAACTTTTCACAGGGGCTGAAGAGGCTTATTATGTCATAATGTAACTGTAAGAAAAATGTGTCATGTATACTACACAGGCAGACTTAATGACAAATTAGATCATAGAATCATAGGATCATAGAAGGCTTGGGTTGGAAAAAACCTCAAGGATCATGAATCTCCAACCTCCCCATCACAGGGCTGCCAATCTCCACTTTTAATACTAGACCAGGCTGCCCAGGGCCCCATCCAACCAGGCCCTGAACACCTCCAGATGAATATAGATACTTAACTAACACAGAAAGAAATGCCAGCTTTTGACCACACAAACTGTACTCACAACCTTGTCCCAAATCTACAAGATTCTTCTCTCTTTCTACCTACCAGCTGTCACCTCTCTCCCTCCTGTGACCCCTCATTGCTCCACATGCAGCTTAGTTTATCACATAATCTAATTAGCCAGAAGCAATTGTCTTCAATCTGTTTAGCCTGGACTTGCTGCCCTCTGTCAGACCAGCAAAGTAGCTTCTAGATAGAATGTTCATGAGCATTTTTCAGCCATGGTAATTTCTTTTAGCCTTAAATAAGCCTTAATAAGAACGCTCTTCAGGATCTGCTAGGACTTTAATTTTTTTTTCCTCTGACTAGATTATTTTTAGCCTTTCTTGATGTAGTTTACCATGCACAGTCACACTAGTCTGACTGACAGAGGGATGTAAAAGTGGTAATGAATAGCCTGAAAAAAAACAAAAGATAATTTGTTAACAACTCATTTTTTCTGGTCTGAAATGTAAAAAAAATCTTCTCCACGCAAATCTCATGTCTCCTTAACAGAACAGGGGCACAGCTCCATCAATGAAGACTTGCAGATGGTTTATAAAAACTACTTACTGAATTTTGATAATGAAAAGTTCACATCCAGTTTGTATCTTTGAGAAAAAAAAAGCGTATAACATAAATAACAGTTTACATTAGAACTTTGAATTTGCAAACTTTATTTATTAACCTCTATTATACTAGGGAGTTATTTCATGTAATTCATTAGCAACTGGAGACACACAGTGATTAAATTCCATAAGGTAAGAGCAAATTACCTCTGCTGACTGTGTCTTCCACTCCCATTAATCGTGAGTATGAACACATTGCTGGCAACTACATGATTGAAAAGAGCTTCAAGTCCAGCTGTATTTTTCAAGTGCCTTCATACAACAACAGAGGAAAACATCCAGGAAAGCAGCACGTAAGACAATGAAAGCAGGGAAACTATTTATTGAGATGTCTGCAAGTCTAAGAAAGGTATGCAAAGTTTTATAGCATGCCAAACTGAAATGTTAGGCTCCAAGTACCTGAAAACAAACTGATGGTAAGGATTTTTAAAGATCCCTAAGTATTATTAGAACTTTCCTTTAGAACAGCACAGCCCAAAAGAAAAAAAAAAAAAGAAGATAAAGCAGGCTGAGGAAAAGACTGTCAAAGAACATCCTCTGAGCTCCTCTATAATGCACTCA